GCCCCACACAGCCTGCTATTCAGTCATTTGGTCATCCCTCACCCCCCTGACGGCCTGGTCACCCCGTGCAGCCTGTTGCTCAGTCATTTGATCATCCCTCATTGCCCCCCCCCCCTGCCAGCCTGGTTGCCCCACACAGCCTGCTGTTCAGTCATTTGGTCAACCCCCACTAACCCCCCTGCCGGCCTTGTCGCCCCACTCAGCCTGTTCGGTCGTCCATTCGGTCATCTGTTCGGTTGTGATGGCTCCTGGCTCTTTATATATATAGATGAAGTCCCCAGTGTGCCAGGTGCTGTTTTGGGTACTGGGCCATTGCACTGAGGATGGCTGTCCTGCCGTCCCGAACGCCGTGCATGGGGAGGGGTCTGCTGACGTGGGCCTCGCTCTGTTGTATGTGTTCCCACCTCCAGCACCGTGTGGTGAGCACTTTGTGGGTACAGACCTTGTCTTTCAAGGGTACAGCGCTGACATTTCAGCACATGGCAAGCAGCAGGCTTTGGAGGTATGTTCCCAGTGACTGCAGGCTGAGTTTGAAAGTACATGCTGAGGATTTTAAAGTTTCTCTTTTCCAACTGTAAGATAGTTAACTATCTTCTTTTTTCAGGAGGATGAGGTTAGTGTACAGTGTGACAGCACTTCAGAAAGGCAGGTGATTTATTGAGGGAGGTTTTCATCGTTCACCTTCTTTTCTGTTTTTGTTGTTGTTTATTGATTTCAGAGAGGAAGGGGAGGGAGAGAGAGACAGAAGCATCAATGATGATAGAGGATCATTGATTGGCTGCCTCCTGCACACCTCCCACTGGGGATGGAGCCTGCAACCCAAGATGTGCCCTGACCAGGAATCGAACTGTGACCTCCTGGTTCATAGGTTGATGCTCAACTACTGAGCCAGATGGGCCGGGCTACTTCCTTTCCTGTATCACCCTTTCTGTTCTCACTGCCCCTCTGAGACCCCATCACCTCTGCCCTTCCTGCCCTCCTCTGTCCCCACTTTCCTTCCTTCCTTAGAGGCAGAGAAAAGCACAAGTAAGAAAACTGTGTGTCTGATTCCATCTCTCTTTGTCTCCGTGGCTTCCTGGTATGTGTTTGCCATGCTGTTGTCTCTCTCTGTATGTGTCTCAGTGTATGTGCAGACCTTAGGGCTGTTGGAGAGTCTGGCTCCACACTGGACAGGAGCCCTGCTGTGGATCTGTTGCACACACGACTGCTGTGCCTGCTCCTGCCGTGCACGTGTCCTTCCAGAAGCAGGCATTGTGGGGAACAGGAAATGTGTCCTCTTGGATTAAACCCAGGGTTTGTGCCCTCCTACAGTGTGTGGTATTAGTGATAGATTAAACAACAGGATTTTCATATCTAGGTCATCTGTCGTTCAGGTAATGCCTGGTTGACAACACCGTAGAATCAATACCCAAGTGAAGTTCTTGGTGCAAGTTGCCATTGTGGGTGAGTGAGGGGTGAAACTGAACCCAATCAGTAGTCAGAGCTGAGCCTCATTGTTTACCCCCTCCCCGCGCCGCCCCCCACCCCTCCATGCCCTTTCACTGTTAAAAAGGAAAAACTAGGATGCTGTAGAGCTCTGGGTGGATAGCAGGGAGAAGATCCTAGTAACTTGTCTTGCAGAATCCCGTCTTCTCCTGTTCAAGAAGCCTGTGTACAGGAAGCTAAATCGCTCCTGAAAGGCATGACATGAACCTGAATTTTTGGTTTTTAACCAAATTTACTAGTATGCATCGGAGGCTCTTCCACAGGTGGGACAGTGCTCTGTGGACACAAACTAATAAGAACATAATTTGTTGAGTCTTTATTGTTGTGATGAAAACAACATGGGGAGCTGTTCTCTGAGAGGCGCTGGGAGTTGGGGAGCACCCTGTCAGGCCACCAGTTATGGGACTCCTAGCAGCTCTGCCCTCACGGGGAAGGCGGACACTGCCTGCTTCTCCCGTTCACAGATCTCTCCTACAGCAGAGCCTCAAGCCTGTAAACCGAGCTTGTGGAAGTCATTGTCTATTCACACCCATCACTGTGGAACTAAATAGAAAATTCATCATAAGAGAGTGGACTTGCACAGGAGACCCTGTTGGATAGTTGACACGCTGCCAGTGGAGGAGCAGTAAGAGCCCTGCTCCTGCAGGGGTCTCCACCCAGTTCTCCCTGAGCAGAGTCAGGCCCAGGGTGCTGGTGGAGCAGGGGTTGTTTATTCCGCCAAGCAGTACTTACCCAGTGCCTGGTGGAGGAGCAGAAGGGCATTACCTTCCCATACAGTCCTCAAGGAGGGGCAATGGGCAAAGGAAGAGAAAACCGTGTGATTGTTACAGCCAGGGGAGATGTTAGGAGGGCAGCACCAAGCCCTGCCTGGTCATGGGAAGGAGGGTAGGACTGCTTCTTCCCAGGTGGTGTGGAGCAAGGCTTACAGAAGGAAGGCTCTGGCTGGTGCAGCAGGGTGGAGGTCACACAGCGTGAGAGGAAGGGCATTCCTGGCAGAGGATGCCGACAGGTGTCCTAGAAAAGGCCCTTTCAACAGGACTTAGCAGAAATGAGGCTCCTCATTGTGGAACTCTCGGCAGAGCAGACACGGGGGTCTGTGCCTGCTTTTGTAAGTCCAGCTTTATTGGTTCACAGCCGGGCTAGTTCTTTCCCATCATCGGTGGCTGCCTTCCTGGTACAAGTCAGAGTGGGTGGCTGTGACAGACCGTGTGGCCTGCGGAGCCTCATATACTTACCATCTGGTCCTTCACGGGCAGTGTTTGCCTCCCCTTGACATGACTCCTGATGAGGAGGGCACACACTGTCGGCAGATATGCTTTGCTTGCTTACCTTCATGGACCTGTTCGTCCCTTCTACCCCCCGGTAATTTCTCTTCACCCCACACATCACACCTCCAACTCAGCAGCTTCTAGTTTTGTGGACTTCTGGCTCTGAACATCGGAACTGGGAGAGCATGTAGATAAAGGGGGCATTTTACCTAAGTGTCTCCTTAAATGTCCGATTGCCCGCTCCCAGCTGTTCTAGACCGGGCTTCATTCCTTGGGACCTCTGCCGCTGCTTTGCTTCGTAAATGTGTCACAGAAAAATCGAATTAAAGCTAGTGATGGGTGCGGTAGGTATGGAGAAGCATCCTATTCTTTGGTGAGACCAGCTATTCGATAAATGGATTCTGGAGCCGGCGGTTCCCTTATGTGTAAGTGAGAGAGAGAGTGCTTCCAGAGACTGTGCACTCGAAATACGTTTTCCTGCATGTGGGGAGTGAAAGTTGTGTCCGATTGCGTAGCAAATGCCAGCTTCTAAGTGTGGGCTCTGGTCTGTGTACCAGTTGTTAGCAGTGCCGGACTTTTTGAGTGTTAACTTAGTAAATGGGAGCTGGGTGAAGCAGAGTATGGTTATTCCGATTTTATAGATGGGGGAGACAGGGGCTTCGACAAGCTAAGTACCTTCCATATTGACTGTTAAATGGCACTGCCTCCAATCTATGATAAGGAGGATATTGGTGTTATGTTCTAGTTATCCTTCTTAGCAAGTGGAATGCTCATTGAAAACACTGAATCAAGAGCTAAAAAAAAATCTCTCCTTCAGACTATCAAAAGAACTGGTTTTCAAGGGAGAGATACCACCAAAACCCCCCTTTCAGCCCCAGCAGCCACCAACACCACTTGTGTACCATTGTCAAATGGTATTGTGGCTTGGGATCTAATTTATCATTAGTACTTTTTGTAGATGAAAAACTGTCAGCATAAGGAATGGTGACATTTTCCCTGCAGTTCTGGAAAATATAGTAGGTCCAAAAAGAGAAGCGTGTAGGTTTAGGGCTGTCCTGCTGAAGTGGTCATTCCTACACAAAAGTCTGACCCAGCCATTCCCTCCTCAAAGCCTTTCTGTCCCACCCTTGGCACAGGGACCAGGGTCCCGATCTTGGTGCTGAGGCCTTCCGATTTGGGCCCTGCCTGCTTGTCTTGTCTGACCTCCCCGCACCTCACACTGTCATTCCATCAGGGTGGCCCCTGCGTTTGGAACCACCTCGGTGCCTGATCACCATCTCTACCTTGTCCCTACCCGACTTGCTCCTACTTCATCTTCACACCTCAGCCAAGCTGTGCTGGACCCAGGAAGCCTTCTTTGACCCTTAGAGGGTGGGGTGGGCGTCCTGCCCTTGCCCTACCTGAGCATGGTGTCCATCATGCTGCTCAGCTGTTTAATTATTCATCTGTTGTTCACCACTAAACGGAAAGCTTCTTAAAGGCATTCTTTTTATTCTTACTCTGTAGTTACAAGGAATAGGAATGCACTTGGGCTAGCTAGTAGAAAGGGAGCTTGTGGTGAGGAAATATTTGAAGCAGTAAGGAGATCTTAGAGGCAATTTAAGGACTGGGTCCATAAGAGGCTCTACATCACAGACGTGTCTCAGGGCTCTCTGCTCCCCCCACATGGGTTCTGCTCACCTCTCTCCTGCTGGCTGCCTCTGCTCGAGCACCCATTTTCATGAAGCTGCTCGTTACCTCAGTTTGTCTGCATCACCTGGTGGGGCCCATGGCTGTGTTTCCTGCTCCCTATTTCTTTGGTTGCTCAGTTTCCCACTTGCAGATTTCCAAGCAGCCCCTCTGGTTGGTGTAGCTCCGTGGTCGGCAAACTGCGGCTCGTGAGCCACATGCGGCTGTTTAGCCCCTTGAGTGTGGCTCTTCCACAAAATACTATGTACAGTGCGATTGAAACTTCGTGGCCCATGCGCAGAAGTCGGTATTTTGTGGAAGAGCCACACTCAAGGGGCCAAAGAGCCGCATGTGGCTCACGAGCCACAGTTTGCCGAGCCGCAGTTTGCCGACCACTGGTGTAGCTCACCCTTTCAAGCTGGGCCACACACATCATAGGTTTCTGGTCAGCTGTAGGTGGGCCTCCTCAGGTCAGGTCAGACCTGTTGCCAACTGGAGGTTACATGGGTCACAGCATGGATGTTAGGCTTGTTTTTCATAAACTTCATGGTATCCTTTGTTCTTTTTCATCCTTTACAGATATCATTAATGGAGCTCAAGAAAAATGTGTATTGCCTCCTATGGATGGCTACCCCCACTGTGAGGGGAAAATCAAGGTAAGGTCAAGTGATGTGTATTTATTTCCATCGTCCTCATTCTGCATGCCCTTCCTTAAAGGGAGAGCGAGCCCTTTAAGGGAGTCATGTAAGGGCTGCTGCAGTCCTGCTTGTTTGGGGCTGTGGCCATGGCAACTCTTCCCTGCTGTGCCAACTCCATGGGAGTAGTCAACAGTGGCTCTAACTGGTCAGACTGACAGAGCCTGGACCAGCTTGGTCCCCTTCTGTGTCTTTGAAGCAGCCTTTCCTCATGTCCCCAGGTTCCAGCAGGTGATCTCTCTCCCATCCCTGGGGCCCCACTTCTGAGGTCTCCAGGTTGTCATTTAAACATCATATTTGCATTTGCAATTGAATACCCAGAGACACTTGACCATGATCCTAACATTTTTAAAAACCTTGTTTATATGGCCTGTCCTTGGGGAGACCACTCCCCTGCTCAGTGGTTCCCAGAGAAAAGTTTCGGTTCTGGAGTACAGTTAGGAGCGGGAGACCAAACCCCAGAAACGTTCACATGGTCTCCTTTTGGGACTCCCGCATTCATTCATGTCCTCTTCCCAAAAGAAACTGCTACGCTGGTGACACCAGCTTTCTGCACAGAGGGGATTTGGGTGCAGGGTCCCATTAGGCACCTGCTCTTGATAAAACTCTCCTAGCCATTGCCTCTCCTGGGCTTCACTGCCTGGTGTGTCCCCGGCCTCTCTCCACTCTAACTAAGCACGTCTGCCAAGGCCCAGCTCAGGTCAGTGCATCTGTGGATCATGCAGGGGCTCAGCATCTGTCATCCTGACCTCAGCTAAGCGACTGAGCTTAGGCCACAGCTCGAGCCATACCTATGCCCTCTCCTCTATCAGCAGGTGGGCGGGTCACCAGGAAGGGGCCATTCAGAGGTGTTCTTACCTGGCTCTTGTTGTTTCAGTGGATGAAAGATATGTGGCGCTCGGATCCCTGCTACGCAGACTACGGAGTGGATGGGTCCACCTGCTCCTTTTTTATTTACCTCAGTGAGGTGAGTGGCTTAGGAGGGGTGGATGGATGTGGTTAACAGATTGTGCAGCCACGCCCGGAATTCAAAGAGCTTGAAAACAGCTAATGTTTTTACATGATAGACCTGTGATTTCTTTCTTCATTACTTTCCTCTGCCCCCTAGGACAGTGGTCGGCAAACTCATTAGTCAACAGAGCCAAATATCAACAGTTCAACGATTGAAATTTGAGAGCCAAATTTTTTAAACTTAAACTATATAGGTGTTGAGGTCCAGCCCCAGCAGGTCCAGGGGTTCCCCAAAGGTGTGGACGGAGTCGGCGAAGAAGGAATGACACAGAGGCAGTGTTCAGTTGATCAGCATAGCAAGGTTCTCCCTTTATTGTCCTGTTACATCTGTATTTATACCATTTGATTTTAATCCTATCCATTCTATTTCAAAGGTCAAGGCATTTGTTATCTCCATTCCAAGGTTGTTCATAGTTAAAGTGATTAACTACCTGCCTGGCACTTAGTTAAGGGGTTTTACTGATTCCCTTCCTTAGTCCTGTTAATCCCTAACTCCGGGGAAAAATCCCCACCTGGGGAAACAACCTTTTCCAGAGAGGTGACCTTGGTTAAAACACATAGCGCTAAGTAGGGGAGCAAACATATTAAGAACAGTATGCCATATACGCCAGGTCCCTTGAAACATATGCTGTGCAGATGTTTCTTCCCTGCAGTGACTGTGTCAAGCAGCAAGGATGGACTGGCTTCCGGCAAATTCCCCCTTTTTTATTTTTTAAATGATAGCGTGTGTAAATCAGAGGCCACCTCTTGGATTGGGTTGTTTAACTCGGAAGACCTGTTTGTGACTTTGCCAACAGGTCAGTCCGAGGCTTAACCCTATATCGGCTCCCCACATATAGGTAGGTACATTGTTATTAACTTAATTAGGGTACTCCTAAGGCTTAGGAAGAGCCAGACTCAAGGGGCCAAAGAGCCGCATGTGGCTCGCAAGCCGCAGTTTGCCGACCACGGCCCTAGGAGGATTACTTTTTATTCTTTGAGGGAAAAGCAGGTTTAGCTAACTAATTTTTTTCCTCATTAAAAGAAATGCAGTAAAATGCATGTAATATCCTAAACCATTAAGTGTACATTGAATACATTCATATTGCCCAGCAGCCATCACCACCATCCATCCACCTCCAGAACCCTCCATCTTGCAAACATGAAACTGTGCCCATTAAGCAGTAGTTTTCTATTCCTTTCCAGCCCCATCATTTGCTATGGTTTTGACTACTCCAAGTACTCATATAAGTGAAATTATACACTATTTGTCTTTTGATGATTAGCTTATTTCACTTAGCATAATGTTCTCAAGATTTATCTATGTTGTAGCTGTGTCAGAATTTCCTTCCTTTTTAAACCTGACCAATATTTTGTTGTATTATATACCACATATTGCTTATCCACTGATCGGTTGATGGACACTGGGTTGCTTCCACGTTTTAGCTATCGTGAATAATGCTGCTGTGAACATGGGTGTGCACGTAACTGTGAGACCCTGCTTTCAGTTCTTTTGAGTATATATCTAGAAGTGGAATGACTGGCTCATAGGGTGAATCTCCTTATTGTTTTTTGAGGAACCTCCAAACTTTTCCGAAGTGGTTGCACCATTTTATATTTTCACCAACAGTGCACGAGGTTTCCAGTTTCTTCACATCCTCACCAACACTTGTTTTTTTCTGGGTTATGGGGGTTTTTTTGTTTATTTTTTTATAGTAACCATCCTAATGAGGGTGTGGTGGTATCTCATTGTGGTTTGGTTTGCATTTCCTTAATAATTAGTGATGCTGAGCATCTTTTCCTGTGCTTGTTGGCAAAATTAGCTATTTACTTACAGAATGAGTTAATTTTCTCCTTCTTATCTGAATTTCATTTTTACTTGTCCCGTTCAATTTGAATAGCAGTTTTTTAAAGAGTTGCAGATCATTTTATAGACCACATGTTTTAATGATCTTATGTCATCTTTAGGAAAATAAAGTAGCGGAATAGAGTTAAGACTTTATCCCAGGCAAGGTACACGTAAGAACTGAGTAGGAAATCAAAACTCGCTGGCTTCCCCTCCACCTTTATGGAAATGGTGCTGGCTAATTTCAGAGGATGTGCACTTGGCAGGCTCTCGGCTGCCATTTCTTCTTTATTCTCTCCCCCAGTTTTGTATGTAGTTGCCCTTTGACCCCTCGTGAATAACTGCTCCCTGGAGCTGCCATGCAAGGAGGAGAATGCCCCTATTATGAGGCCAAATGAAATGCTTTCCCATAGTTTTTCTTGTGGGACTCAGGTGCCTCTTTTCTGTGTCATGAAGTGACAGGGACAGCTTTAGGGGATAGAGGCCAAACAATAGGGCTTCAGGGCATGTGGCCCTGGCTTCTGTGGGTTTGTCCCTTTCCTACACCTTCACTTCTCTTGCCTCTGTAAGATCCAGGCAGACTTTGTTTTTTGACAGGTTGCCGCATGGCCACCCTACAGGGATCCTGGGAATCCTCAGATCAAATGACAGTTAAAATACCTTTTGGAAATTAAAAGCACAGGGAATTGGGTGTGTGATGCTCCTCATTAGCGGGCTGCTGGCAAATTGATTCTGTAGCTCTTGTTGGAATGTTTCTAGCTTAGGTGGCCTGAGGCCCATCTTCTCCTGAGGAGGAAGGCCAGGGTCCCTGGTGAACTTACCTCCAGTGAGAAGTCATTAGAAGCACCTTGCCTGCCCTGAGAAAAAGGTTCCTCGTTCAATTTAATTTTCCAAAGTTTTCTTCCCCTTCCATTTGATAGAATTTAGCTAGAGTCCAACTGTGCTCCCTGATTGACAAGCTGAGCTAATTTCATGCTTTCTTGAGAGTTTGGAATGCTGGGGTGAGTTGTTGAGGTAAAGGTAGAGGATTTTACATTCCCACTCCAGCCTTTTGCCTTCTCGGATGGTGTGAGAGAATGGACCAGATGGAAAAGGACTGTGATTATTTGTGACCTTGTTCCCTTCCTTTGAAACCGCCACCCTATTCTCGCTCACCTAAAGGGAAGATGTAGCTAAGAGGAGAGAATAGTGAGATTCCAGGGAAGGTAAATTGCGAGGATGTGGACCAGACAGAGCTGTAGAGAGACCTAATAGATCATATATACTTAATAGTGGAGCCTGGGTGTTTCCTTTCAGAGATGAGAAATGGTTCTATTCCAATCTCTTCTAATGCAGATGATTGAACTTTTCTTTTTGTTCAGTTGAATTCAGTTCAGTGAGCACTTATTGAATAGCTATGATATGCATTGATTGTCAACAATTACTGAGAACTCATTTTCTTGGCACATTGCTATGCATTCATAATCTTAAGAGTATAATGGAAGAGGAAGAGTGGGTGCAGGTAATTTAATCAGGAGGGTGGAAATAATTCTTCTGGGAAGACAACTAGGGACTTCTTTTTCAGTGTTTTAACCTGAAAATAACTTTGAAACTCTGTTCTTTTAAAACTTTCATTTTATCATAGCATCTCAATAGGTACCCTATAAGAGTTAAGAGGAGAATTTCACCAACATGGCTACTGCTATAGGAAGTACTGACTTACAGAGCACCTCATACCTGACTTCAGCTTGTATTTCTGATTCTTTCTCTACTCTATGCTTTTGAAAAAGTTACTTACCCTCTTTGTGTCTCAGCTTCTTCCTTTGTAAAATAATAGTTTTTATTTTGTTTGTTTATTTTGAAAGGATCCGACCTTGAGGATTCCTGAGTGTATATGGGCCTGCCAGATAAATGACAATAAACCTAACTGATACTATAACCAAACCCAGGTTTGGCTGCCTATTTCAACAAAAGCCAAACTCGTGAGATAGGTGCTGGTGAGAAGGAAAGAAGTTTATTCAAGTGCCGGCAACCTGAGAAGATGAGGGACCCTCATTCCAAAACTCATCTTAACATCTCAATGCAGGCTAGGGTTTTTACCAGGTTGGAGAGGGAAAGCAGAACAAAGAAATTAGTGGGAGGGGCTTTGGACGTGCAGTATGTATAGGCTGTGCAGGACATTTCCCCATAGGCCTTAATATGGATGTTTATGGTCAGCATTCTTGAGTTGGCCATCTGGGCTTTTTTGGAAATGGAATTCCTGTTCACTGAGTGGTTGGTGTCAACTGGGCCTTGAGGCTAGGCTGCTTCCTAAGTTCAAACAGGAACAGAAAATCCAGAATTGTAAAGTATACTAAAAATACTTGATTCAAGCTCTAGCTTTGAGAGAAAAATCAGTTAGAGTAACAAGCTGGGTTTAACATTTATTCAGATTAACATGGATAGCTTTATGTAAATATTTTTATAATCTTACTTGGTTAGTACATTCTCATTTTAGTTCTATTCTATGGCTTGTCAGACAAATATAAGTAGTATATCGCATTCATTCCCCATTATAATATTTCTATGGTTTTTATTGTTGTTATTTTTTTAGGACAATTGTGGGGCATCACATGCTTGTGACATTTTATGTGGGACCTTAAGTTCATTTCTGAATTAGAATCAATTTCTGGTTCTCATTCACCAGAATCTAATTTAATTTTAGATTCCTTGACTTCTGGTAATGTAGAAATTTAGCCGTTCCCACGGGCTTCTTTTTTCTGGATAGGACACTTGTGTTTGATTCAGGTTGTGAGCTGGATGAAGGGAATAGGTATGCACCCCTATCTTTGTTAATATGAAATTATTAGAGATGTTTTCTGAAGCCAATTAATTTCATTCTAGTATTTTTAAAATTCTGGACAACATCTAAGGATTTGTGATGCTGTTTTTTGTCATTTTTTTCCTCTTGATTTCTTGAAACTTTGCTTCTTCATTTAACCTGTATCATATGCCAGGTTTCTCTTGTATTTGGAAAAAATGATTAAGAGAGACATCTTCATTTGATGTGTACTTGATCAACAGGAGTACCAGTGACTTTTATTCTTTTCTTAATACTTATTGAAAAGCCAGTTCTTGTTTCCTTCTATGTTTAACTTCAGAACTTTAACAGA